AGAAGTACGTGCCACGAAGCTGCAATGCGCGAACTGGAAGATCCGTTTTCATCTGTTCGAGAAGATCTGATGCTTCGCAGCGTCTACGATCGCACCAGCTCGAACGACGAAAGGACAGGGGAATAGGACGGATGACGAGGTGGAGCAGAAGGTCCGCCATCAAAGAGGAAAATTGCTCTGCGCCATCGCGGAATGCGCGTATTCGATCATCGTCTCGGAATCGATGGAACGTCTTTTCACCAGCTTCGCCAGATTCACAAGGCGAGAGATTTTATTACGCCCCGATTTTTGTTGCGTCGACGAACGAGTTTCGACGATCGGCTTTCAATTGATTGTTATCGAGCGGCAACTTTTAGCGACACGTACAAAGAGATACATTAACGAGAGACACGAAGGAACAGGATATAACGCAGTCTGTCTCCGCAAGTGTGCAAAAGTTAGGAAAAGTGATTCTCCATGAAAAGTAAATCAGAAGTGTATAATACAGATTTTGTATATAAAACTTCCCTTCTTTAAAGGAAATGACTTTAGGATTCGTCAAATATATATGTATAGGTTGGTGGAAGAAATAAAGTGCAATAGTAAAATTGGTAAAGAACCAGAGTTGATATCTTTCGAGGATTGAAGTAGAGCTTTAGTGGAAAACTTTTGCAGCTTACAGTTCAAAGAGTTTCTGTACAGCATGTATGACTACATCAATAGATATCAAAGCAGGAGCATCAAAACATACTGCATACTTTTGACTTGTTTTTCCATAAGGAATCTCGTTTTGCGATTGTACCACGATTACAGAGGCATCTCATATACGAAACAAGCAAGGCAATAGTAGAACATCGCAAGTAGAAGAGAAGAACGTGCATTCAATTTAACATAATCGACAAATCTAGTAATCTAACTATTACAATAGAATTTGTAGAATCATTATCCAAAGACTAACTCGCCTCATTCTAACAGTTTGAGCATCGTTTCGCGATCGTCTGGTTCGCATCTCTAAAATTCCATTTCCATCGATCGAGTGGTTCGATGTCAAAATACCAATTTCCTTTTTCCCTTCTGTACGTAACATATATATGCTTTTCTTGCATCGAAATAAGGTTTCGCGAGCGCATTGCACGTCGATGAAAAATGTAACTGTATACGAAGCCGAACTATTAAGTAATTGGAAGTTCGAAAATTCTCCGGTTTCAGAGATATTTTGTAACTATCCGAAACGATCGCATAACGCAGCTCTTACGCGGAATTTCGATCCGAATTCTCGTAACGTAGAATCGAACTTTTGGCGAAAACAATCCGATACACGGATAATATAGCGGATCGATCCATCCTTTGCACGTTTCGAAATGTTCGACGTTTCCGGCCGCGTTCACTTACGCGGAAACTCGCAAGCTCTTCGATGGCTCCTCGAATTTCCAACAAGAGTAGCAACGATCGGAGAGAGGTAGCATCGAGAACCGGGAATTATCGAGAATATCCAACTGCTACGGAACCGTCGCGCCTATTAAACTCCCGTATAAGCACCAAGATGCGGCGCTGGTCACCGGATACTGACGTTTTGTGGTTAAACTGAGGTGACTAGGCAAACGCCAGCTGCCAGTAGTTACGGTCAAACTGTCATCAGACGCGAACACGGTGCCAGCGGGCATACGTCGAACAAGTTCAAACAGTATTGAAATTCTACAACGTATATAGAGGTCAATTTGTAATTCCTAAACGATATAATCATGATGATTCGTTTAATTTCGTCGTAAACGAATTCGATATAGCTTTATCGAGAAACTGCATTAAGTTTTAGTGGTACATATTGAACAATAGATAGGATGTAACAAATTCTATGTAACTACTGCTTTCAGAATGTGTTATTCTGAAATTAGGCAAAGTGCTATTTGGTACAACAGACCATCGCAAATGGAGTTTAAGATTACTGTTAATAGGAACGCACTAGGTATGCACTTGGAACGAGTTAAATACAGAAGTTGTAATTAAAACACAATTATTATTTTTTATTAATATTCATTATTAATTCGAAACTACAACTATTTTCGAAACCTTTTGGTTTAAATCCATCACGGTGTGATCGACATTCCTAATATTTGCCCTATATTCGATTAGACATTGGTTCTATTGTTGAATGGATGCGACTTTTTCATGTCATGAAACGATTCTTGTTGTTCTCTGACACTATCTCGTTGATTGTTTCCGGAAATCCCCGGAGTGGTTCCGTACCCCGCTCTCGAAGAAAAGCACGCGTGACTTCGTATACAGCCAGCCAGAGGAAGACAGATTGAAAAGGCACTTGTGCGTCGAGTTCGTTTATCCGAAGATGAGACCGAGTCTCGAGTCTTCGGCAAACGTACGCGCGCTTCTGTTTGAAATCTCGAGACCGGGGAACTCTTCGAATGCATCGAAATGAAGGCACCACCGTCGGCCAGGAAACTTTCGCCAAGATAAATTTAGAGCTGCGCTCCAACCTGAAAACAATACTTTCCCCCTCCATGACTTGGAAACTTTGATCGAGATTCAAAGTGTCCTCAAACAGATCCTTCTACTTCCACATACGCGGATGAATTTAATCGCAGGCTGAGTTAATCTATCCGGTTAATTTCATACGTCATTGTTGCGTAGAATGGACAATTTTTTTGATTAATAGTCATAGATTCTTAAAAAATATGTCAGCAGTTGCTCATGAAAGTATGCGAACACTTGTAGAAATCTTGTGTAGCTATATTATACGTCGTAAGAGTTGTGAAGCATTTTGAAATTTTAATAGCGCTGTAATGAAACTCGACTATCGTGATTATATACAATATACGTGATTAACTTCTAAATGCACATTCACGTTTGTTTCAAACTTGCCTAATGTAATCACGATACTCGTGTCTCGTTATAATGCTACTGAAATTTCAAACGGTTTCACATGATGCACATAACATGTTCATAAAAAGTTTCTATGGTGGAGATATGAATATTTTCCTAAGCCATTGTACATTGGTATAGATTTAGTTTATTAATACACAATGCTCTAAAAGGAGTTGTGTTTCATTGAACAGATTCATTGTACGAACTATGCCAATTAAATATGCCTCACTCTTGTTGATAATTACTAGAAGCTTATAAAAAAACCTCACTTTTTGAAACACTCAGTATTCTCAGAGAAAATGTTTATCTCGCTAACAATTCTACACAATTTTGTTACTGAAAGTAACTGTTTCAGCAATTTTATAAAAACATTCAAATTGCACTTTGTAATTGAAATAATAATTCAATCTTCTATTTAGTAACCAATTGGAACGAATGTTTACCTAATCCGAATTTTCCATTCATAATTTCAATTCCAATCACTAGATACAAAATCGATATAATATCTAGTAAACGTGATAGATATCGACCGTTATAGAAACGCAGAACTCATTTCGGGATATTTGCTTCGTATTTTCTTTTAATTTCTACGTGTGGGTAAGCGTAAATCAAATATATCAGCCGTCCATATCTGCGCTTGAATCCAAACGAAACAGACAGGAAGAATCGTAGCAACGTCTCTTTCGCACACTACGTCTACGAGCAAGGCGACGTACTCTAAACCGGGCCAGCCGCTTGTCAAACACGTAGCCGTGTATTCTCGTCCCAGGGTTTGACGTTTTTCTCGGCCGACATCCGGGGCAGAAAGTGGTCTTTCGTTTACATTTCCGTTCACCATGGATGGATCGATCTATCTTCCCTTTATTTTTCAGACAATCCCTTCTTATCGTTCAGCACAGCAGCGAAAATCCCTCTCTCGGTTTACACACGGTCTCCTCTGTTTAACGGAGTTTCGTTTCCGATAAAACTCACGATGGGTTAAGCAGCGTCGAATGAAACGAAAGAAACACATCGGATATGCAAAAAGGAAAGAAATTGTGAAATTTATTGTAACGAAGGAAAGTACGATAGTAGAAAAGGAGAGCGAGTCAGGTGAATGCCGATAGAAAAAAAGGGGCGAGAGGAAGGAGAAAATTCTTAACACGTTCTTTGATGACGCGAGAGCAACGAGGTGACGAAGGTACCGACATTTTTTTTCGACGAAACAAACTGCGGCGACCGAGGACGATAGGGGTAGTAGTGCATGTTTAATAAAGAGTAAAGCACGACAGGGGTGGGCAGATCGAGGAAAAGTAGCGCGGGATGTTAAACACACCTGCGCATCGAAAGTTCGTCATGAATAATTCCGTTTGGCTCGTTTAACGCGGTCGCAGTACGCGCGCTGACGGAACTTCCATCAGCTCCCGCTGAACGATAATTGACTTTGCGTCTCACCGGCTCTATTTATTTGCGCGCTTTCCAGGCCTCGCCACCACCCTGGCTGTACACTTCCTGGCCGAGAGATCGAACGAGCGTTAAACGACGCTCAGCTGGAACACGACAAAGATAGGGAAAACAAGGAGCTAGATCGAGAAGTTTAAATTGCGACCAGGGATCGAGTTAAGGCTTAATAGCTAATTGATTCGGAAATTAAATCGTAGACTTGTTTTCTCGCTGTGCGCTCCGGATTCATCAGCGAACATCGCGACGTCCAATGATTTATCGCGAATTCTTTGATTAAATGGTTTGGGTAGGGTGGAAGATAGAGAATTCTGTAATTCGAAGGAGGATCTGCTGTACCAGGGTAGATTGAGTTTTGCGTTGTTTCGAAGTTGCAATTGCTTTAACTGAACCGTAAAAGCATCGAACCAATGAATGTAGGCGGTCGAACGGTCTCTAAACTATGAAATAACGAGGCTCGTCAAAGTCTATTATGTTATGCATGTTTAATCTATTAGGGCGATGACAGCAGTTGGATGGGAATATCGATTATGTTAATTACACATTTTGAACGACCACACGATATTTCGTTATAAATATGTATAGCACGATACTTAACAGCAATGTTTTTTTTATTAAAAAAACGCAGAGTTTACCGGAAGTACGTATCGTTTTCTCGTTGACAGGACATGTAAAGATGTTTTTAGATCATATGGTTATTGCAGGGTGGCCCAGACTTCCCGGTGAACCAGACTCTGTCGAACATTTATGGCCGCACGTCGGCCAGTCCAGAGGCTCCAGTCTACGTAGACGAAACTCAGGTTCGTAAGTCTGTAAATAATGTCGTGTGAGAATTAATTTCGGTCTCCGTTGTTCTTAATTATACTAAACGATAATATCGTTCAAACTTAAGTGTACTAACAATAACATTTAGCAAGCGTATCGGTAATATCCTTATCTAAACTAGCAACGAATTTAAACATTGAAGATACTTAATATGTTTTAATTGCAAAGAAACATAATTTAATCAGTTGGATTGAATTTTCAATACTCGGTTGGCTATAAGGAAATCTGTCAGGTTTCTGCAATCTTTTACTGCAAGTTCAAAGTTTTCTACTTTACCGGCGCGTTTCTCCCATATAATTTCTTTGTGACTTCAGCTACAGACACTCATCGATCAATTAGCAACCACAGATATCTTTTTACTAATCCACCCTTCCATTTCTTTTTATATAAAAATATTTAAAACCTCTACATTAACGAAAAGATAATTAACAGAAGTGTTCCTCTTAAGATAAATGGAGTTTCTCAGCCACGTTATTGCACACTTCTTCCGGCAGTGTTCATAAAAGGGTATTTCTTCGAGGCACGACAGAAACAGAAATTAATCTATTTTGCATCAAGGACGAACTATAATTTTCCAGGTTCCGACCTTCTTGTTGTTCCTTTCCGTTTTCTCATTTCCTTGACGATCAAAGTGGTAAAAAGGGGAGATGCATTATACTCGAGACACAGGTCACGATCCCTGCCATCTTTCTGCTTATCTTGCCTCAAAAGTTGTGCAGTGTTTTAGAAATATCGTTGAATAGATTTCACTGTACGGCCATTTGCAAAATGGAATTCACTTGCAAAAGTAGGAGACCGGAAATGCAATTTTCTCTTTTCTGAACAACGGAATGCGCAGAGAAAGATGCATGGATGATGTGGCCGAAGTCAGTTGTGAAACGACACTAGAGATGATTTCATCTAGTTTTAGCCGTTCCATGTGTGGAATTTCACAATTGAAATTCGATTCAGTTTTACACGCCATTTCGCCGATTAACGGGTGCCAGCTCGTCACAAAGTCAACGATAAAACGGGAACACCGACAGGCTCGCCTGTGGCGAGACCATTTGTAAATTATGCCAGAAATCAGCGTGACTGCATTATCAATGCTGTTACGCGGCTTCCGTATTTGCAAATAAAGTGTGGAAACTGCGTATAATGCGTCCCATTTGATTTAATCGACCTGATTAACCTGGTAAAATGCAATCATGCAGTCGTTAGTTGTTTAATCCGTACTGGCAGCGTGAAACTCGTTAGTTCTCATTACGGCCATTGCTTCGACTAGCACCTCTTTTACATTGACTACAAAAAGTATTTGCACACATTCTTATTTTTCAATTAAACGCCTCTCTATCGGATTCTATATTTCGTTTTCATAACACCACATTTTTATAATCATACGAAAATGCTCTTAAGTGGTATTAAATAACAGATGTACTTGAATTTAATTAATTGTAATATGTAGATGCTGAAATAAATGCAAGAGCGTACTAATACTGTACATATTATAATCACAAAGCTAATTATCTTTTCAATATTATTTTTAATGGAGAATTCTTATTTATCTTTGTTTAACTAGATTCTCGAGTTAATTAACTTCATTCAAACGAAACTGCAACCGAAGCGATAAATTTGACATTGCTTTCACGTTTAACCATTAACTCTGCGCGGACTGCAGCGGAAGCCAGGACGGAGCGGGTCCGTCGACGATAATTATACCTTACGTCCGGAACGTTCGTCTCGAAATTACATTCGAGCAAGACCGTTAATGAAATAATAGCGACGTTTCAGGTGCACAGATTATAAATAACCGTCGATATAACGTCGCGCGCTTCTGTGCCATTGAACCGGTTTTCGCATTTCGCCCGGTTCTTCCGGTTCTAACCACGCAAACTTTAATTAAGCGCCTGCTTAATCAGGAAAGTACGTAAATTTTCCCAGAAATCTCCAAGCGAAGACAATCTCGTCGGGCATCGATCTCCGTGCTCTGGCGCGTCTCACGTCTCCATTGTCCGGGAATATTTACAACATCGAGGATTTCGCATTTCCCCCTCGATCAATCGCGAAACCATATCAAACTACTCGCCGTTGAGTTGTTCGGTGTGGAATACGGAAACCGAGCCGCGTCTTACTCGGGGGTAAGCCAATTCGTACGGAAAATGAGATTAATGCCCGCCTTTATCACGCTCACAGATACGGAACTGCGCGTAAGCACGATCGTTGAACATCATTCGAACACGCTGGTAAGATCGTGTTCGTACACTGTAGCGTGAGTTCGACGAAAAGAACCGTGTCGGAATTAGACCACGACGCTTTGGTAGGAGCACCGGAACGTGACGGCCACCAACGTCGAAACGCATCAACGCCAGTACCGACGCTGACGTCTATCCCTTCGAGATACATACACCAAGCATCGAATGATGCGTTTACACTGTTTCGTTGAATACCAATTTATCACAAGTGGCTTCCGAGCTTTCTTCTATGGTGTTTTCCTATAGTCGTGCATCTACGATAACAAAGTGAATTCAGTAAGAATGGCGTGTTGTTTTCGTATGTACTTTCGTGAAATGAATCCTTTGTCTGACGAACAGTAGTAGCCTTTAGGCGAAGCACTACTAAACGAAGTGTCTTCTGAATTATTACGTTGCCCGACAATCGAAGTGTACACCATTCTGAAGGTTCACTTCTCGATGAACGAGAATTATTGCGTTTCATCAAAGTCGAGACGGATCGATGAGAATAGAGGACACGTGGACTTTAATGCTAAGAGCGGAAAACGGGATCCATTAATTCACACGAATAGCCAACTTTACCAGATACTTGTGTTTTTTTTTGGAAAACTCATGACATGAAATCAGTTGTTTAAGGAGGTTGAAGTAGAATGGGCACCTGAGGTATAGTTTTGTAAAACTGCGGCCTAAGGAAAATAAGCTGGCTGACCAAAGTACACGTGCGGTGCCAGGCGTTCTTCTTTCGACGAATCATTATTTTCTCTAGTCGCCTAGGAAGCCTCGGACTGCAAAGAAAAACACGGCCAAATATTTAACACACGAATTTTTCCAAACATAAACTTTTTTATATTCTCGACTTCTGTGCGAATAGGAGAAAGATCCGCTACGAAAATAGGAACAAACGGACCGAATAATAGCGTCAGAATACACGTGATGCGTTTACAGTTACTGCTATTTTGCCCCGTGCTCCGTGATTCTCTCGTAAACAGTTTAACGATGCTGTTTGATATTTTTGGAAATGCATAAACGTTTTAGTCGCTTTGAAGATTTTCTTCTTCCGAGCCAATGACACGTGCACGAACCTCCATTAAACAAGAGATCCCGCGGAACCAAACATTGTCTTCTGTCAACGCTAGAAATAATTCCAAACAAGCAGAGAACGATAGATTTTTATCTCGAACCAATACGATTCGACGTGTAAATTGTTCGGTAGTTTTTTGTTAAAAGAGAGATACACGAAATGTTTTTCTTGTATTAACGAAAGTTTTCAACGATCCCGATTGAATTCCTGGTCGCCTTTAAATTTCATTTTTCACTTGGTGCAACTTCTTTATCTGCTCGCGTACCAGTCGCAAAATCGTCGAAGAAACTGCAGCCACTACTCATTCTTCAATGCGAACCTTCTTACGGGAACTACTTTGCTATCTATCTCTCGAAGCTTTCCTCAACTTCCTGCGGACGTTGATCGGAATTCCTTTCGATTCGATTCCCTTATCTTCGTTTGTTCTACCACCGGTGGAACGAACCTCCCGCGGCTGAGTGTTTTAAAGAGATAGTTGAACGCGAATATTTGTCGTGGAAATTTGTTGGATGAAAGGAAAGACTCCTCTCTGACATTTTCGTCTGTTTTATCACAAGTTCTACGAAACGTCGATTGTTTTGGAGAAAGTGTATTGCGCTGCAGTGAAAAACGCAATCCATATATATATCTTGTTGAAAAAATTAATTGAAATAACTTGAACATTCGCTGTAACTGATGATGATTCATTGAAAAAACGATATAACGAAGTTTGGTAAACGTAATTGAATATGCGTCGTGCTATATATAAGAACGTGTAAATAGTCTAATATGTGGAAAGAAAAATTGGGACGTAAATCATCTACGCAAGTTCAAATTTTGACAAGAATGAAAAGAATTAACACAAACTGATTATCACAAATAGACTTCCAAATAAATTTAAACGAAAGTGAAATTAGAAAATACAACACTATAGAAATGATAAAAAAGATAGAGGAATTATAGGAGAAAAGGATCTCACGATCGCAACAAACTTGTATCTGAAAGCTAGTGAAAACTAAACGCGAATAACGGTGAACGGATCAAACGCGGCGATACAATGATCGATTGGGTGTCTATCGTGCGTCATTCACGACGTCGTTTCAGCGACTATGTTTACGGTGTTCCTATTAAGGTACGCAAACGAAGGACAAAGAGAACCTGTCACTCTGGTGAACGTTTTAATCGTAATGTTGTTACGCATGCCTCAAAACGATCCAGCAATTTTTACGGATGCTGCTGGAATCAAGTAAGTCTCGATAAAAATTAGATTTGTATCCCCTGCCCCCTCCTCGTTAGCGTTTATGAATTTATAATTTACGCGAATTAACAATCGATCCATGCGATCGATTCATAACTATTGAAACGTGACCACGACTCGTGATAGAGAATAATTCATTGAAACGGAAGAGGTCAACGCAGGAGGTCCTCCATGTTTTTAAACGTAATTGTATCACTCGCGCGTTTCAATGTTTAATGGTTTAATATGCTTCGAAGTTTCACGACGAGCTTTCAGCTGAATTTGTTCGGAAAGCAGGAAGCCGCTGTTTATTTATACGAGTCCATTCCCGTGTTCCCGTACGCGGGCAAGTATAGAGTTCATTTATCATCACGGTAGCATTTAAACGCTGAAAAATTGACCGCTCGGTGGATTGAGTCGGAAACGGCATCGATCTATTTTATTCGTCCTATTTTTGATCCGAGAATTAATACAGTTGCCTCGTCAGAGAAAAATTCGTGGTCCGTGGTTAGCGGAAATGACACATCGTTGCATGTAATATATGGACACCACGTTGTACAGTAATTTTAAATTAGAGCATTAAATGGATCGTTAAGGGATGGATTGCTGCAGTCAAATCCATAGAAATTGAACAAAGGAAAAAGTAAACTTCATGCACAGTCATGGTGTTTTTAGATCTTCCAATTAGTTTCTCAGATTTAATAATTATGTATTAATTCGTCTATTATGATTATTTTTTTAATATTCAAAAGATAAAGTGAAATTATGTACCAAACAGTGGTGGAATCGGAGCGTAAACATAGTAAAGCATATAGTCAATGGTGGGTGATTTTCTACGTTAAGCGTCATTCCTCGGGCCGCGAAAGGGGCAGACACCATTCTGCATTTTTTCACGGGACTTCGTATCCATTTCCTAAACCTCCGTTGTTTTACGAGTACCAAGTATCGGAAATTGACCCAAGGTGATCTAACTACCTTCTGGCCGCGTGCTTGTAACGAACGGAATGTCCATCCTGTGGCCAGTCAGTGGTTACTAATGGCCACTTTCTTCAAAATCGTTAGCGAGTAAGTACGTGATCGTAGACGTTTCTCGGGGTGCTCTTCCCTTTCACGGATTCTAAGAGAAATTCTAACAACGAGAAAAACGCCTATCGTTTCTCTGAATTACGGGGTTTTCCCAAAATAAAAGAATAACGCAGAACATTGAAATAAAATTCTAGTAATGAAAAATTAGTGCCAAAATATAAAAGGATACTACCAGTAAGGAAACAGTACTACGACATAAAAAGAGATCATGCAACGAGAGAAATAGTGAAAACGAAAAAGGAAATTCTTATGATAAGAAGAAGTAATGCAAGAAAAAGAAAGAAGAAACATGAATTAGAGGGATAAAACTAACTATGTGGAGATATAAAAAAAAAATGAGATGAAATGCCAGCAATACCAGCACCCTTAAAAAAGAACAAATGCAACAAAAATAAAGTTTTCACGAGTTACATTCCCGGAATATATCAGTTTCAATTGGGGCGAACTTGCTGTTACAATTCCATCCGCATGTTAAGATATCACACAATCTCGTCAAATTATTCAATCTTAGTTTTGTGAATTAATTCGGCATGAAAATTTGAGATTTGACCATTTTGAGTCTCCAATTCAAACCTATTATTGTCATTATTAATAGTATTTCCCCTAGCGTTTCCACTATAACCCAACAAACGTACGGTTAAAATGGCTTCAGTGATATCGAATTTCATAGATGACATTCACACTAGCATTTATTCACGTGGCTGTCAAGATGTGAGCTATTTTAAACGAAAAGGTTTCAATAAACGTTCGATCATTGATACCGTGGTTGGCCACTCGACAGGCCATCGTATCCGGAAGCCCCGCGCAGTCACGATAATGAAACAAAATCCCGGATTCCGGAGGATTAGCACAGTAGAAGCATCACCGATATCGAAACCCGATGCAAGCAACCTCGTCAGTCGAAACCGTGCTCACCACCGACGCGCAATCCCTTCTTTCTCTTTTCTTCGATTTTTTACGATTTACTGAGTTCAAAATGATTTTTCTAAATGTTCCAAAAGTTAGGCCAAGCAACATGTGCCTGTTGAAGATAACACGACACCAACAACAATCAAACGTAGAATCGGATCGCGGGCAATCGAATATTAAACATAAATCGAGGAGGATGCGACGCAGTAAATTCATTCAAACGATTCTCGATCGCCTGCACGTCAGTATTTAGAAATGGCTAATGCGGAGAATGATGGTGTTTATTCTTAAAAATGTTACGAATGTGAGAAATTATTAATGATTGAAATCGTTAAATGTTGAAATTCTCTGGGGTTACAGAAGACCCGTTACACTGGTGGAGGAGTGGACGAGCAGCTGCCACCACCGCCTTCGCCACCCCAGCTGAAAGAGGCAGGACAACTAGACGGAGTTCCTAGACCGAATTCGGTCGATCGTATCCTACATCCTGATGGTAGCCAGCACATCCTAACTAGCCACGAGGCCCTGAACAAGGTAATATTTAATAGTTTCTCGTTGCATCGCAAATATCTGCCTATTGAATTGTAAATGTTCCGTAAAATGATGGAGGAGCAGCTTACATGTAAGCAGTTTATCAAATTAAATATTCCCGCATACGCGTCTCGACGCATGCTCAGAAAAGACCTCGAAGGTTCGCCATCTGCTAGAATTTCGTGTAAATATTCCCGAAATCGATACGAAACGTCGGTAACGAGCTACTCTATATTATGCTTACCTACATGTCACGTCTATCCTAATACCCTGTTCTTAGTCAATGGCTTACCGACCATTCTCAATCGATAAAATCCTTTAATTACTACAAATTACAGAAATCTATCGAACGCTAAATATTTCAGATTATAGAAAATATTCTCACTTAACGTTTAACTTTATACGATCTCCAATTTTTTTATATCTATTCAAACGTAAAAGATCGTTCCAAAGGTAATCTATTTTCCACCCTCAAATTAATGTTATCACCCCACGAAAGATAGCGCGTACAGACTTATCAGTTTCCACGAATATTCGTCCGATGGTGCCCTCGTCATATAACTGGCAACGTAGTAATCTACGTTATCGTACGGATATTCGGAGATACACGTGCACGAACCAGTCCGACCGTGGCTTCGTGGCTCGTCGACTCTGGGCTAGATGTGATCGGTTCTCCGGAAGTTCGATCAAGTGCTGAAGTGTGTCGCGAGTGCGTCTCCGCGGGGGTGTGAATGACGACGACTTGGCCGGAAAGAGAATGTCTCCGGCGTTAATGAGACGCGAGGGACACCTTTGAATCGGCGTGACAAATTGAAACACATTATTGATCTTCTCTTCCGACACGACCGACTTGCCGTGAATAGCGGGAACGTAATGGTCTTTTTCGTCACGAGTGATCAATGACAGAACGAGTGTCTCCTCGCGGATAAATGCTTTTTATTTATCGTTGGATGACACGAATTGCATGTATCGATCCGTCTCGGTGACGTTTATAGTATTTCCTCTTTGCGTTCTTTTTTATATCTTTCACATCTCTTTTAATATGCAAAATATTTTTACGTGATTGTTTGAAGTGAATTGTATAGGACCGTATAATAGAATACTTATAAAGATAATGTTTTAGTTAGATCGGAGTTAAGTTCATTGGTGTGTATGAATCTATAATTAAGATAGAGAAGATCAGAAAATGATTCATGAATAGGATCACTCTGATCGTTGAAACGAATCGCGATAAGTCCACGCGGTTATCGTATCGTAGAGAAATATTCGCATGATTTGCTTTGATAAATCGAATTATCGATTTGCGTTAAATGATAGCGAAAGCGAACGCAGATTATTTCGACGTATAAAATTTCCCTTGAGCTCATAGCGATGTTAATTTTAGAAATGATATAGAATATGTGAACTCGTTCATTTCTGATTATTTTATAAATCAAATTATTAAACAATCATATCATTATTTTCGTATAAATATATTCGTTTTAAATTGCTCTCAATAAGAATTTGCGTAAGCGGGATGATATCTCAATTGAAATCAACCTGTTAATTCGATATTGGTTTTGAATTTGAGAATATCGCGAATGTACAAAAAGCTATAGATATATAGTTATTTACCACGCTACGTTGATTTCGAAGATTACTTATAAAACGAAGCAGATTATCATCCTCGATGCACGCTGTCTCTCATTGGTATTCCAATTCCATTCACCGAATGGAATTACCAGTGACGATATGTTTTCAACCATAAATGCAATAATTTCCCTGTCGTGACGCGAACATATCTTCCTTCTGGCCGGTTTCTCCCTTTCTTCCTCGATTTTCTCCGGTGATTTATTGTGACGTTCCGTATCTTTCCATATAGTATCGGCTTTCAGCCGTTCGAAATTACAACTACGACTGAACAGTTTTATGATCGTCGTGGAACCCAAAGAAACCCAATTAAATGAAACATCATCTCTGATTTTATTCCTCTTAACAAATCGAACAGATAGAACAAGCATGACCGATGATACAACGTATTCGACTCATGTCTTATACCAAACAATAATAGCTCTAATAACAGGATCGAAGAGCATTTCGGTTCGGGGAACACGGGCCAACTTCGTCAACCGTCTGAAATCCCCTAAGTTCGAAGATCGAAACGATGCTCCCGAGGCAGAATTAATGGAACGAACTTAGGAAGATTCAGGTGGTAGGGGTTATTCGGTCCAATTGCACAGACGCAAAGCACCTCTCTCCATTTCTCGCTGGTAATTCGGCTAGGCGTGTGCCCTTTAAGGTGACCTAGATATGGTCTAGTACTATTTTATTTCCTACAGTATCTCGTTCTATGCGATTCTTTTGTGAGTGCGCGAGAACGCTCCGAAGGACATTATTTTCACCAGTAAGATATTCCTCCGTTGAATCTCTCTCCGCGCGGCATCACTTTGTTCGATATTTTTTCTTCGTCCCTTCCCTCTGCACTTTTTACTCTCTGTACTGTTAAATGACACGAGATTCGATCGCGTTCGCATTCTGTTTCGTACTACACGGCATTCGAATGAGAATAGATCGGCGGCAAGTTATGCAAAAGTCAAGGCATAAATGAAACGAACGGGCAACGTTTAATTAACGATAAACCTTCTTCGTTATCGGCGTGCAATTAGCTGAATTGCACGCGATCACACGCGTTCGGGTAGCCTGGTTCTGTTTATAAAATATTATAATTGAACAGGTCGATTCTCGACATGCGATGCCAACTCTACTACGACGCACGGTATCGACTTGGGTCGTTTAATCGGCTGCTGATAAACCGTATCGTGTATCTGATAACAACTCAGCGTTTACTACGTCCTTTGCTTGGTTGATTTCTCCACACATGTAATACATATTGCTAATATATATATACACCGCGAAGCGACGAATGCAGCCATCCCGGTTCGATACTCGCTACTCATGCATAATTCGGAAGCTCACTGCAAAATGCACACTGCTCTCGTATGAAATTCCAGTTGGTCACTATGCTCGCGTATTTATTCGTTTTATGATAAATTCGATTATAACGTATCTCGATTACGTAATTTAATTCTTTCACTGTGAAAGATGTATATGTAAATGCATCATAAATATTAAGTAATTATTTGCTAAAAGCAGTGTTCGTATTTCTATAATACAATTATATTAATCGAAAGCGTCATTTTTATTTTCATTTATATGAGTTACATTATAATTGGTTATGCGACGTTCTCAAATTTTTATGAATATATTTTTTCAATATATTATTAATTAACTAACTATATAACTAACTAATATGCTAATATTGTAAAATGCTAATACTGTAGGCATAATTTTTTATTAAACACATGTTTCCAGTAGATATCATGTGATTTTTGTATACATTACCAGATTTTGTAAATCAAATTTTGTAAATGTATTCGTGACAATAGTATCTTATTACATTAGATAATTACTACTGGGATTTCGAAACGTTTCGTACAACGCACATAATATATTTATGCAAACATTCTATACTAAGCGTGCAAATATTTTCATGAGTCACTGTATTTCTATATTTAAAAAGACTACGAAAAAACCATTTAAAAGTTCGGAACAATTAAAAAAGCAAAAAAAGAGATCGCCTAAAAAATAAATCACAAAACCACATCATACCCCTTTGCAATGCTCGCTGTATCCATAGTTTCTAAAAACTGGCACAGTCGAGCACAAAATGCCTCTAAAAATTCAAAGCGTACCGCGTCCACTCCACGGAGCGTTGCGCGTGTTTCGCTGTTCATGTAAAATGCCGCATTCCACCGGGCATTATGCACTTCCTACACGTTTAAGTTCTCTTTTATTCCGCTTATTACACGCGCTGAGCACACGCGTCATGCTCGGTCTCTGTCACTGACGATATGACACCTATACGTAGCCAGGCCCCGTGTATAAATTGCGCGTTCGTACATGTAACCGTGGCTTAATGCGTGCCGGAGGATAATGTACGTAGACGCGAGATGCGATCATAGAACGTGGCTCGCTCGTTAATGCATCTGATGCGTATCGGTCCTTTATATCCACTATTTCCAGTGAATTGTTTCTACGAAATGCGTGGAAGAAATCACGGAAACCCCGACACATTTTCTTCTAATCGTCGATGACGCTGCAGCTTTTAGGGGTATTCGACGACAAAACCATGCGATTGTTAGTGTGAGAGATTTTAAAATGTTGCTTTCATCATTTCTTTCTTCCTTTTTTATTACTTACAGTGTGAGCGTGGGATTATTCTCTTTTCAGTGGAAAGATATTTTCTTGTAAATATTAGAATATGAAGAACAGTTAGTGTCGAGTTACAAATAAATAATATAAATAAATTATATAAAAATTGTAGATATATACTAGGTGTTCATCATATCATATGCAGAACTACCGATTTGCAATGTGTATGCATATGCTGACATATAAATGATTAAACAAATAGGTATATATAATATTCATCTAATATCAATCTGACTTTGATACTTGTATATACATGTATAGGTACCAATTGCGAAGACAAAGAACTTTTTGATACCTCTAATGTTAACTTAATTAAAATTAATGTTTAATGTAAAATTGAACGAAAAAAAATTTATCGAAATAATCATGCTAAGAATCGTTGTTATTTCTAGTGGAAGGTTTTGCATATATAATATTCTATTATTAAAGAGCGTGCCTCGATTCAATCGTAGGATATGGCACTCGATGCATATCATTTTATTGCAGAACTCTGGCAGAGTACCGGGATTTAATTGACAAGCATGGCTCGCAACGTTTTAGCTTATAATCTAATCACTATTCGCTCGGTTCACGAATTACCCTCGGCAATGGCCGCGTGTTGGCTTCATAGATAAAGTCTACAACGCAGACACGACTGTGTACAAGCCGTGAGTACCTTTTAAAGCTTCGGTTTCGCCTATATACGTTGTAGATCAACCCCAGATTTGATGGGTCTCCGAAGTCGTGTTTTATCCCTCTGCGTGAACAACTGG